TCTCCTTTTTCTAATGGTAGAGGCAGTTTGGGACCATTTAGGGACACCCTAAGGCTTCTGGTTGGTCCTGGTCCATGACCTGCTTTGGACCTTCGAGACTCAGTGGGACCAGGCCTAACGGGACTGGACCCTTTGGCCCCAAAATGTTGTTGTCAGTTGCATTTCTTTCCTGCGCTGAAACTGGGGGACACACGGCTAGTAGGGACATTCCTTTAGAGTGAATCTCGACTGGTCTTACTGCATGTTCTCACACACTGCCCTGCGCCTGGCTCGGCGACCGTCCGCACCCCTCGAAATCTCCATTGTTTCAGTTAGTTTTCTTTTGTCTGACTTATTTGTGATACATGTTGCATGTGGGGCTAGGCGAGAGGGGATCTTCAATATGATCTGACCGGACCAGTTCGTTAAGTCAGACCTCTCTTTGAATTATTTTTTATTTATGTTCTTATGCTGTGTGGATGTTGTTCTCTGGTCGAAAGGAATTGTCGCCCCGGCTAGGAGTTCTACCTTCTCTTTTATGATTTATTTTTTATTTTCTGTATCTGAACTTTGCAGAAAGCGGAAAGAGAGAGAAGGGGCATAGATGGTGTTCTTTTGTAGAGTGTGAGGAAGGGGAAGAGGAGCATTCATCCAAACGTGCGGGAAGAGAGGAACCCGCTTGAGAGATCTACTGACACCCCATCCTCCAGCACGGGAGACATCTCATCTGACCAATGGCAGGCCTTGCTGGGCGCAGTGGACAATAAGGCAAAACCATTCTTTCATAAACTTTATGAGGATGCATTGCAGAGAGAGAGAGAGGGAGGCAGAGGCAGCAGCTAAAGCAACAAGTATTGCTGCCCAAGTGACTCTCCTCGATGTTTCGAAGACGAGTGATAACCGGTTCAGAGAGAAGTTAGCCACTGTTGTTGCAACCTTGGCTTAACTGCGAACCTTAGAAGATTGTGATTCACACGACACAACTCTAGAGAAACGAAACCAAGAGCTGCAGGCTGAAACTGCAAGCCTCAAACAAGCCCAACTGACTATCGTCCACCTAATCCTCATCCTGTTGCTGTCCCAACCTTTCTCCCTAACACAATCCTCATGGAGAGACCAAGTGGAACTGTGACAAGTGCAGGAACGGGTGCCAACTGTTCAAACGGCAGCGCCGACGGTTTTGCACTTGTCCCAATCCCAAATGCAGGGTCACCAACCCAAAACACCGCAGTTCCTACTGACATACAATACAACGGTCCCATGGTGGACAAGAGGGCGGCCACGCTGTCGTCCACGTACCACGGGAAGGGGGAAATCACCTCTTGGATCAGCTCCATGCACTCATACTTCAAGATACTGTGAACACTGCGGGAAGACCAAAGTATGATCATGGGCACAAATACTGAGCCCGTCGTACGGAGTTTTATTGAACTCCAAACTGTTAGAGCAGGTTATAAAAGGATGAACTGACTGAGTGGTTGAAGGTGATCCTGTACATATTCTTGAGGCACAATATCAAGATAAGCACGCTGCGCTCAACGCAAGGTTGAAACTTGAGGCCCTCAAGGGCCAAAGTGAAGGACTTCCATGCAGGCTTTGGAACATCATTTGACCAGAACATCATTTGACTAGTTTGTTCACTAGTCCAAACCTGGGATAAACTGATGTGTCTTGCATGGATGTAGTTATGGGAGTGACCCTTGAAGATTATGTCTCCCGGCTAGGACTGAAGGAGCATACGACTTGGCGAGAGCTTTTAACGGATCTAGTCAACCTAGAGGCCAAAGACATTGCCAGGCGTGGAACGATACCAGCTGCAGGTAAAACTCTTCGACGCAAGCGGCTAGGAAGCGGCAATCAGCTTGCCCTGCATGAATGTCGGGAGGCTGAGGACCAGTTCTATGCGGATCATCTGCCTCTAGATGACGACCTAGAGATGGACTCTGATGTGGGCTCAACCCTTGAGTCTGACATGATTGATGAAGAAAAATGCAATGCCTTTAGAAAGACTGCCTCAAGCAAGGGGCCTAACCGCAGTTCCGGTAAGGGAACCATAACCCACCTTCCCAAGAATGCAAAGATTTTCGAGAAGCCGAAGGATGCTTCCACCAAGCCTTGGTAAGCCCTCCACATTAGTAAAAAAAAATGGGAAAGAAGATCCAAATTGCTCATGTGCTTTCATTGTCAAAAGCTTGGGCACATTGTGCAGGATTGTTACCGTTTGCAGGGAAACAGGCAGAGGGTGTAGAAGAGTTATCAGCACTCTCTACAGCAAGAGAAGCTGAAGTCATTTGCAGGCCCCTCCAAGGAGGGTGAATCTAACCAACAGCCTGCTTTTGGAGCTCGAACTGATGCTGAATCGAAGGTTGCTGCAGTTGAAATACTTTACACCGAGCCTTGGGAGGAGACTAAGGAAGTCAACTTCCATTCTCACCTGTAACATTGGCTGCAGCTCAAGCGGTGTGGCCGTGTTCAAGGGGGTGATTTTCTTGAAGCTACTCATCAGCCACCGATACATCCGTGTTTAATGGCTCAACAACTAACTTATTTTCTCCTAACGGCATTTGTAACAAGGACTTGGAAATGAAGAAAGTGGAACTGAAGAACCTTTGTCAGACCCAAGTAGGCAACCAAGAGGTTACCTCGACACATGGTGTCAAAGGTATGCTCGTCACCTTTGAGAAAGGTCGCACTATTACACACGAGTTGAACTTCTACAACCTCGACAAGTGTCCCTTTGACGCGGTCATTGGTTTGGGCTGGTTAAAGGCTCGTTGTCTACGAACCATGTGGGCAGATACTCAGTTCGTGGTGCGTGACGCCAAGGGGAACAAGCCTACGGTCTTGTTGGACGAGACGCGCAAGTCCCCAGTGACTCTTTTGAGTGCAAACAATTTCTGCAAATAACTACGCAGGCGCCTATCCATGTGCTTTCTACTTTCGCTGCATTTTCTACTTCGGAAAGTAACTCTACTTCTAATAAAAAAAAACAAGCCTACTTCGATTCCAACTACTTCGGTTGTTATTGTTTTAAATTCTCAAACTGATTTTCTCTCTCCTCATGAGGATGATCCTCCACCAGAAGTCCCAGTAAACATTCATCGTCTACTAGATTGATTTCCGAAAGTTTTGGCGGAACCTTGTGGCGTGCACGAGCGTTCGGTCAAACACAAGATCGAGATTGTAGAAGGAAGTGTTCCTCCAAAGGGTTGTGTTTACCGTATGGGACAAGCCCAATTGGAAGACCTGAGAAGACATATGAATGACATGATTAATCGTGGATGGATTAGGCCTAGTGAGTCTGAGTTCGGTGCACTTGTCTTGTTTAGGCCCAAGAAGGCAAACCCTGGATGTGCATCAACTATCGTGGCCTAAACTATATCACTAGAAAGAATGCTTATCCTTTACTACGTATGAATGATTTGCTGGATGTTGCAGGTGGATGCAAGGTCTTCTCCAAGATCGACCTCAAGTCTGGCTACAACCAGATTGAAGTCGATCCGGTTGACCAGCACCAAACTGCGTTCAAGACACGCGATGGGTTGTACGAGTTTATCGTTATGCGAGTTTACCATTATGCCCTTTGGTCTCACATCTGCACTAGCCACATTTCAGTGCCTCATGGACAAAGTCCTTCGCCATCAGCTCAACAGGTTGGTCGCTTCCCTCGACGACATCCTGATTTTCAGCAAGTGTATGGAAGAGCACGTCAAGCACCTTGAGGAAGTTTTGCAGATTCTTAAGGAGACGAAGTTGAGCCTCAACTTACAAAAATTTGAGTTTGGAAGGGACAACGTCATCTATCTTGGGCACCAGTTGTTGGCAAGCAGCCCTGAGCCTGAGGCAACCAAGTTTGAGGTCATACGAAAGTGGCCTCTACTGGTGAATGTACGCGGATTGCGTTCCTTTCTTGGTTTGGTTTCGTATTACCAGAAGTTTGTACCCAATTTTTTTACCATTGCTCACCCACTGTTGCATACTCGTGAAACACAGTCATAAGTATGGCGCAAATTCCCAGAACCGACCGGATAATACAGAGTGAATACAAATGCAAGCGGAAGACATGAGATACCTTTGGACTGACTCGGACCTGACTTGGACCTGACTCGGACTGCAATCGAAACACTCTCAAACATTCATCAGGGGTGTGAATGCCCTGGCCTCAGACATAGACGAAAGGCCAGGGACTGAAATCATCCACGGACGAAGGGAGAGAGGAGAGAGACGAAAGCAGGAGGAGAGGGAAGATGACGTCAACTGAATGTTTCCAAAGATAGTATCTTGAACTGTCAGAAGTGACGAAAACCCGAAATGTCGCGAATGCCAAGTCGCACAATATCTTAGATATCGATCTCACAATGTCAAGTATATCTTCAAAAGGAAGATGAAATCAGATCCCAAGTAGTCCTCAACTCATAGTCCCAACGTTGCTATTCCAAATGTTATCAGAATCCGTAACCATCCTTCATACTGCAGTAGTCCCGTAGGAGAACTCAGAAGTAGATTGAGACTGAGAAGGTAGGAGGAGAGAGAGAGAGAGAGAGAGAGAGAGAAGAGGAGAGAGGAGCGGTGGAGGAGATGAGGGAGAGAAGGCGAAACCTTCCTCCCTGGTGCCTGGCACAGTAGCTATGGCGCTGCCAGGGGGCTGGGCCGGTAACTCGCGCTGCGCCCAACGCTGCGCTAAACTCCTCGCCGCTGAGCTCCTGTTCACTCGCTGCTCTTCGTTGTGCTACAACGATGCGCTAATTTGCTAACGCTGGCTGCTGCGCTAATCCTGAATACTAACCTCGTCCATACTACTCTAACCTACAAAGGCTGGTACCCAGCCTTTTGTAGTGTTGGGCCGGCCTCCTACTTGCTGGTACCTACCGACCTGGACCGTTGATCTGAATCGACGGTCCAGATTCAAACTGGTTTGGCGCCTAACTGTGGCAGCCTCTGAAACGCCGCCGGTAGGTCCTAGGCTGGACCGGTACCGGTCTTGTGGCCGTTTGGCCTGGGCCTGCCTGAACCGCCGTGGTCCAGGCCCATCTGGACCTCATCTGAACTGTCGTCCCTTAGGCCTACCCTGCTTGTTTGGAACCGGGCCCTAACAGGGGCCCGTGTGGCTCAGAATGCCACACACTCCCCCCCTTGAAGACCGAGCTAACTGCGAGGGCGAAGCTGTCTGTCCGATGTCCGTACGGGGCGGGCAGGTTGGGCAGCTTCCTTAGCAAGTCGCTGTTTTTCATAATGCGCAAAGATGAGGGGTGTTGTCGCCTTCAGATCAGCTCATGAAATTCAGCGTGTGTTGTCGGGATCGCATTGCTTGAATGTAACTTTGTACTACATTGGCTTGTTGTCGTGCTTGCGATGAGCGAGGACGTGGTCGACCTCCTGATGGCCATCCATTGAAGGAGGGTCCTGTGACCGTCTGTTTGGAAAGTCCGCTGCGGAGGTTGGAGTTTAGACCGCCAGCTTTGAAGCGTGAAATATTGGGTGGACCGTCAAATGCGGGGGAATCTCAATGATGAAAGATGGACCTGCGGGGTCGTCGCCAACTGATGAAGTGACCATCCATGATCCAAACCACTTAGGGAGGAGCTTGCGCGAGACGTGCTGCTCGAGCGCGAATTCCGCGGAGGTGACCCAAACTAGGTTGCCAACGCGTATTGGACATGGGATGCAACGCCGATTCGCTTGCTGCTCCATACGGACCTGGGCCTTTTGCATGTTTGCGCGGGCTTTGGCCAACAGTTCCTTGTACTTTCGTGTAGAAGCGGGGGGGCAAGCGGCGTCGATATCAGCAGCCTGTGGAAGCAAAATGTCTGCGAAGATATGTCCTTTCCGTCCACCATGGTGCAACTCGAATGGAGTCACGCCAATCGCCGGGTGCACCGAAGTGTTGTAGGCAAACTCGATGTCGGGAAGGCGGTCAACCCAGTCCTTCTGATCCGGGCGGATGAGTGTGCGGAGCATCATCTGCGCAGTCTGGTGCGCACATTCTGTTTGCCCATCCGTTTGAGGATGTCGTGCGGAACTCGATTTCATGCTGGTGCCGGACTCCACCATGAGTGTCGTCCAAAAGGCCGACATGAAACGAGTGTCGCGGTCGTTGACGATGTCTTCCGAAACGCCGTGGCTGCAAAAACAGCCGGTATGCAAAAGCCGTGCGAGCTCAGGAGCCGTCGCATGATACTTGCATGGAAGAAATCGAGTGTACTTGCTCAAACGGTCAACGACCGTGAGAATACCGTCATGGCCAAGGCGATCGCGAGGAAAAGGACCGGTCACATCCATAGCAACGGAGAGACCCGGTTCCCGAGGAATCGGCAATGGTTTCAGTTCGCCGTACGGGAGCTGATGGTGCCCTTTGTTCCGGTGGCAAACTGCACATGACTGAATGTGCCGATTGAGGTCACTGATGATGTCCGGCCAGTGAAATTGCTGGTGGAGTCGTGCTAGTGTGCGGGCGACGCCAAGGTGTCCCGCCAACCGCGAATCATGGTATTCGCCAAGGAGGCGAGTGCGCAAGATGTGGTCTTGGGGAACACACAACAAGTCTTTGCCTCGTGTATGGAGAAGCAAGTAGCCGTCGACAATGCAATAGTTGCTTGTCGGCGGTTGATCCGATGATAAGTCCGCATAGAGTGTGGAGAATCCCGGATCCGACTTGTAGCCGTTTACGAAATGTTGTTGCAGGTTCTCGTCGAGGTCGAATGTGCAGTGCACCAAGGCGCAAAGATCAAGTCTTCGCGAGAGAGCATCCACTGCCTTGTTCGAGGAGCCCGGAATGTGCTTGGAGGTGAAGTCGAACTGGTCAATGAAGTACGTCCACCGACCGATCATGCTGGTCACCGTGTCTTGCGTCTTGTAATATGTCAACGGATTGTTGTCCGTTGCCCACGTGAATCGCCGACGCCCGAGGAGAAAGTGACGCCAACGCTTAAGTACGGTGACAAAAGCTAGGAGTTCCTTCTTCCTCGCATCATCAAGAGTGTTGATGAGCGGCACCTTTTGGCTGAAGTACTCAACCGGATGCCAGTTTGTGCCGTCATGCTGTTCCAAAACCGCGCCAATGCCGTAACCGGAAGCGTCCGTAGTCACTTTGGTGGGCAAGGTCGGGTCATAGATGCTTAAGACGGGAGCTCGAAGCAAAGTCGTCTTCAACGTGTGAAACGCATGCCGGGCTTCATCACTGAACTCGAAGGGCACCAAGGGGGACTGAAGTCGCGACAATGGTGCAGCGATACGTTGAAATCCTTTGACGAAGCGCATGTAGTAGGATGCCAAGCCGAGAAAGGAGCGGACGTCAGTCGTACACTTGAGGTCCGACCAATCTTGAATGGCTTGTATCTTGTCTGCGAGCGGACGAATGCCTTGCGGCGTGAAGTAATGGCCTAAGTACTCCAGCTCTTGCTGGGCAAACTCGCACTTGTCGCGGTTTGCCTTGTTCTTGGCGATACGAAGCCGCTCCAAAACGGCGCGAAGGTGCTTGAGGTGCTCGTCCAGCGTCCGGCTATAAACCAATATATCATCGAGGTAAATGAGCACGGTGCGGTCGAGCAAGTCACGGAATTCCGTCGTCATTGCCGCTTGGAAAGTAGTCGGGGCATTGGTGAGACCGAAAGGCATGATGATCCACTCAAAGTGCCCATACCGCGTCTTGAATGCGGTTTTGTACCGGTCTCTTGGCTGGATCTCAATCTGATGATATCCGGACTTGAGGTCGAGCTTCGAGAAGTACTTGGCGTTGCCGAGTCGCTCGAGAAGATCATCGATCCGAGGGAGAGGGCCGGCGTTCTTGATAGTTTGCGCGTTAAGTTTCCGATAGTCGATGCACAAACAAAGGTCCTTGTTCTTCTTCCGGACGAAGAGAACGGGAGCACCGTATGGCGAACAGCTAGGGTGAATCTAGCCCTTGGCCAAGAGGCCGTCTAGTTGTGCCCGAAGCACTTGAAGTTCCTCTTCACTCATGCGATAGATACATCCGCGCGGAGGTACGGCGCCGTCCTCGAGAGTGATCCTGTGGCGTATGGGCCGATCCGGTACAACTCTGGCGGGAGCTTGGAAGACATCCTCATAGCTGTCCAACAGGTCAATGATGTGTGGGTCCGACGTATCCGTCTTGGGATGATCACCGGGTGGGAGGGCGTGAAGAAAACATATGCCCATCTCCTCGATGTTGTTCCGCCAGATGGATTGGCGAATGCTCGCCGCGGATACCATGTGACAACCAATTGAAGGATGAGGAAGCGACACCGTACATGGGACTAGTTCGCTGCGCCGATCACGAACGTGAACGGTGCGTCTGTAGATGTTCACCGGATGGTCTTCGCTTTGCACCCACGACATGCCTAGGATATCGAACTTGGTGTCCAATATGTCGAAAGACACGGCCCCGCATGCTAGCGGGACAAAGTACACGGGCACCGAGTCAATGCATCGGTCGATTGACTTTTGCGTGTGACCATCGGCCAACGTGACGTGCGTAGGCTGACTTTTCCTTCGAACGCGCGGGCCAAGCCTGACGCGTGCCATGAAGTCTTGGCTGATGTAGTTGCGAGTCGCTCCACAATCGATCAAGGCACTGCAGGTCGCCTTTCCGATCTGAATGCGGATGCAGAGAAGTGGGATGCCGACGTACAGTTGCGTTGCATACTCGCGGTCGATCTTCGCAAGATAGCTACGAAGGTCAACAACCGCTACTCCGCCGTCCGTTGACGGAGGTGGTACTGCAGCATGCGAGTATTCGCGTAGATGTGCCATTAAGGCGTTGCAATGCGGAGTTTGCAAAGAACCGGTGGAGGGAAGAGGCAACCATTGGAAGTCCTTAACCGTCAACGGGTCGAGTTCCTCAAGACTCGCCCAAGTTGACGGATCCTCCAATAGAAGGGCTGGCGAAGCAACCGGTTCGTTATCCGACGGCGAAACTACCGCGCATACGCTTGAATCTTGCACGTGGAGAGGCTGGTTCAACGGTGGGACCAGCTCGACAGCATAGTTCTCATACTCAATGCGAGAACTTGCGACTACCGCGGTGTCCCTGGATGTGAGAGAGGCTGCTAGCAAGGCAGCGGACTCCGGCGGACCAGGAAGTGTTGTCGCTGCACTTCCCGCAATGCTCAGTCTCCCGAGCTTGGACGCTTGACATTTTCTTTGTCTGTGTCGAGGCAGGCACTGGTGATGTGTTTGGTGCTGTTGCACCACAAACAGCATGACCATTTCTGTCGCAACTTGAACATGTCCTCGGTAATACCGAACTTCGTCCATGGTGCCTGTCGTGCTCCATCCGCCGATTCTGGTTTCGCCTTTTGTTCTCCCCCTCATGGTCTTGAGGTTGCGGTGGTATCGCTGCCGCCACATCTCTGTCACTTGATGTAGACGCGGCTGCGGGGTCCTCACTTGGTCCTTGCTGGACTGCTGCTACTTGCGGCGTCCGTTGACCCTTGCCTTTCTCCACGTAACTGGGCTGTTGGCGGGTCTCGTTAGCTGCCCGCTGGTTACCTTGGATTAGTTCTCGTGCCTTTGAGATCATGTCATCAAAGGTCTTATATTGAAATTCCGTACCCAGCGCAGCTGTCAAAGCATCGCATGACCGAGCGAAAAATTTCGGCCCGGATTGCGTCAAATGGTAAGCTTAACTCCGGGGTGGCGACGAGTCTTTGCCACTCCGTCAGCCATTCCCGTGATGTTTGCTGGCCTTGGTATATGCAGAAGATCTTGTTCATGGCATGCCGTTTGTCGTTGTTGACCATGAACCGGGTCTTCCATTTCTTCTCGAATTCCTCCCACGTGATCTTCGTGTGGAGGGTGGCGATGGTACATTCCAATGTGACTGCCATATGCGTCATGAAGGCCTGCGCTCCTCCAACGAGTTAGAGGTAGAGTGCGTCAAGCCGCCACAGTGCTGGACTGTGATGCACGTTCGCCTCTGCGTTGAATGCCATCCACCATTGCAGCGGATCGGTCTTGTGATAGTCATCGAACTTCTCGATCTTGAAGTTCGGCATCTTCCATTCCTTGGCGACAGCGGCCGGTCGTTGCTGAACGCGGTCGCTGAGCGTCTGCAGTTGATTGCTGACTGTCGACGCTCCAGCAAACTTGCTGATGTCGCCGAGGGATGCGACCACGTGGTTGATCCGCTCCTCGAGTTGCTTGGCCTGCGCGGCCAAAGCTGGGCTGCAGTCCACCACTGCACTGCCCGTTGACGCAGCTGCTGACAGTTGTGCCAACCCCATGCTGACATCTGTCTGCAACTGGTCGTTGAGTGTCTACTGCTGGCTGTTGGCAGCGTGTAATGTGCTGATCTCGGCATGCAGGGTCGCGATCTTTTATTTTTTTTTTTTATTTTTTTTTTTTTGCAAAACAACCCAGGTGAATGCTAGTGATGCTGATAAGAGCAAACACCACTAGCACGCCCGGGGAGGCTCCATCTATTGGTGGGGAGCAGCACCTGCTGGAAATCGGGTCCAGCGTCCCTTAACAGTTACGCAATCATATCAGCGCGTCACGTGTCAACCCTACAAAGATCGTGCACCACAAGCCAATCAACACACAGCGCTATATATCTTGATGAGCAGCATTGATTGCCCTCTTGCTGAGGGGATTAACTGCTCATCTTCTTGTCCATTGCCTTGAATGTTGTTTCGTGGCGGATGAAGACCTGCCGCATGGCCAGCAGTTCACCTTGCTGCTAATTGCACGTGTACAGCAGGTTCTCCATCAGAACTGTTGTCCTCCCTTGTCCCTTTCTTCCTCGGATGGCTCTTCTTGTTCTTCGGTTTCTTGGAAATGCTATCGTCGAAGTAGCCTGGCGTGCGTGGCTTCGTCGTGAGCAAGGTCCATCGTGGCTTGGTAACGAGCTTGGTTTTGACTTGCCTCGACCGGCTGCTGTTGCAACCGTGCGGCTGCTGCAGCTTCTGCTGCGGCCTTCTGATGTGCTGCCTCTGCCACTGCCAGCTGGCGTTGAATTTCCTGCTGGTGGGCGGCTTCCTCCTCTTCCCACGTGCGTATTCAGCTGCCGTCGTCTCCGAATATTGCTGGAGACGTTCGAGGAACACTAGAAGTGGTTCATCGGCATGCTGAACTGGGATAGGAGGGGTAACCGGCCTCTTGGAGCTGCCTGGTGCATTGTCGTCAGCAGAAGCAGCCATGGTCGTGCGTGGCCTGCGCGGAATCCGAGGGGTCCTAGGTCCCTGTTGAGGCTTGGCTCCTGCGTATCCGCGCTCGGCCAGTCGTTGGCTGCGGTGCATCAAGTACTCTGGCCTACGTCGGCTGCTGACGTGTCACCTCTGAGGTGGCTCCTGCTGATGTGGCACAGTTGAGGTGGCACTCTGCTGATGTGTCACTGCTGAGGTGTCACTGTTGAGGTGGCACTCTGCTGACGTGTCACTGCTGAAGTGGCATTCTGCTGATGTGTCACTGTTGAGGTGTCACGGCTGAGGTGGCACTCTGCTGACGTGCCCGGAGGTTGGCAACCGTATACCGAGAGGAGAAAAGAGAAGGTAGGGTGTGGAGGAAGGGCAGAGAGGCAAACAATGCACAGACAGTCCCTTTCTCCCCTGACCTGGAAGTCTGACACTAGTCAGAAAAAAAAAAAAAAAAACTTCCCCCCCCCCTGACGAATTTTCAAATTTTGAGAAATTAATTAAAATTTAATCGAAAAATACGAATTAATAACTTTGGCAAAAGATTTAATATTTAATTAAAGAATATGTGAGGATTGAGCCCTCAAGTAGGGGCCTTGCCATGATGTACATGTTCTGGGCTAAGGCCCCAGCAAGCCTCGTGCCCGCCTTAAGTGAAGGCGGGCGAGCAAATCAACAAGAGCCCTCTGTGCCAACATTTCACGAAGTGGGGTCCATACAGTTGCAGCACGCCAGTTGGTTGGAGTGCACCGAGTCTCGGATTTCAGCAAATGCTGAAATGCMYWGGGCCTCTGAGTTAGTTAGGCCCTGGGCACTCGAATGTRRRGCCGACAATGCACGCTGGGTATAGTGGCCGAAAATGCCAAAGGGAAATCGGCCCACTGTCTGAATCTGGCCGCAGGCCTTGATGAA